CGCCACTGGTTTGGCAACGTGCGCTTGGTTCGGGGGGAACGGCTGGCGGCTGGGAACGAGGAGAGGTGGGTTTTGGAAGGGGACAACACCACGGACGACCTCCCCCAGCGATCACCCGAGCAAGTCTTGGCATTCCCATGGGTTGTCCCTGTGCTCCTGGTCTCTCACGTAGACTTGGGAAACTCCTCAAGGCCTTTACTGACCTGTTTGCTTCGGTGGAGTCTCGCAGAGGACAACATCCAGATGACGCTCCGACTGGCTGAGGCCACCTCTCAGGTCTCTAGTCCTGCCCCTGCAACAGGCAGAGCTCTCAGCAAAGCCAGCATAATTTGTACCTTCAGGGAGCTAGTCCAGGCTTATTTTAAGCAAGTCTGGGAGAGAAGATGTCCTCCGTGAAGACACTTGGCTAAACCTCCCTCCAACAGCACCCCTCGCCCATTGCTCCCCCTGGCCCACCCCAGGACACTGCGGCAGGGGAGCCCAGCCAGGGCTGACACGGGATCCACAGGGATTCGTCAGAGCAAGCTAGATCTCCAGAAGAAGATGAAAGAAAACTACTACTTTTCCAACATTCAAGCTATCTCCATTTCATTTTAAAGCTTTTGAAGATTTAGCATCCCGTAGCATTATCAGAGACTTTCTCCCCAAGACCTTTCCTCTCCAGCCAGGGCACAGGCATGCTCTGGACCCACGGAGAAGAGTTTGCTGGAAGATGATGTTTAACCAAACAAATCTGAGTGTATCAATGAGTCCAGGTGATGAATCATAGAATCATTAAGGTTGGAAAAGACCTCCAAGATCATCGAGTCCAACCGTCAACCCAACACCACCATGCCCACTAAACCATGTCCCTAAGCGCCGCATCTACACGTCTTTTAAATACCTCCAGGGATGGGGACTCAACCACTGCCCTGGGCAGCCTGTTCCAATGTTTAACCACTCTTTCAGTAAAGAAATTTTTCCTCACGTCCAATCTAACCCTCCCCTGGCGCAACTTGAGGCCGTTTCCTCTCGTCCTTTCGCCAGTTACTTGGGAGAAGAGACCGACCCCCACCTCGCTACAGCCTCCTGTCAGGGAGTTGTAGAGAGCGATGAGGTCTCCCCTGAGCCTCCTGTTCTCCAGGCTAAACAACCCCAGCTCCCTCAGCCGCTCCTCAGAAGACTTGTTCTCATGAAGGGAAGCTCCTGCATGCTGCTGTCCACACTTCCCTGGGAGCTGGATTGTCTCCTGACTTGGCATCATGGCTAAGTTTAGCCAAGACATCGAAGCCAACAAAGCAGGCAGAAGCGGTGTTTCTCACCTTCTGGCTGCTCCCTTAGAAACTCCCACCTGGCCAGCAGCAGTGCCCTCTGCTCCCAGCTTCCACCAAGATCTGCAGAAGAGCCCCGCAGCGTAACCCCGCTGTCCAACACGAAAGGCGGAGCCCCGCCAAAACCAGCCTGGCGAGAGCCTCGGTGAGCAGCAAATGACTCAAGGAAATTCACAGCTGACTGCAAACGCCGCTGCGAGTGCTGCAGAAAAAGGCCAAGGTCGCACACCGAGCAAGGAGGACACAGGGACCACGGTGGCACGGACCACCAGCCCCCCCCCGCAGCACCAGCAGCCCTGGGGAGGAAACACAGCTGCGTCATTGCAAAGGGGTTTTATGGCAAAATCATTTGAATTATTCAGGGTTGAATTAAAGTTGCATGAGGTTTCTTTTTTAATCACAATAATAAATAGCCGAGTGAGTCATTGCCCAAGAAAACCCAACAGCAGCTACCAGATGAACAACTTACTGCTCACTTCTGCTGGATGCAGCTGGGAGAGGGTGGGAGGATCATGCTTAGGGACGAAGAAGAGGCAGTACAACTTCAGTGAGAGTAAACAGACAGCTGAAGGGCCCGATTAAGAACAGAAAGCAAGAGAAGCCGGTTTTGTACGTGAATTAGGCTCAGCAACACTCAATAGCCAGCACCCCCTTGGAAATGCTCAGCACCGCATCGCACACGGCTTATGGTGCGCAGCTTCTCCTAGCGCAAATCACCCCAGCCTTGCAATTGAAAAAAAAAAAAAAATCCCTTGCCAGCATCGGAACATCCCCATTTAGGCTTTTTCCAAGAAAAGCATCTCCGTATCCATTAGCTATTGTCTCCCTCTAGCGCGGGCAGAGACCAACCTGCCTCCTGCCGCGGCTGCGGCTCCCGGCCTGGCTGGAAACCAAGGGCCGAAGCTCTGCGGAGAACCGGTGACTCGGGGCAGGCTGGGATGGGAAAACACACCAAGTACCAGCTCTACCTTCGCGTTGGTGAATCAGCTTCCCACACGCACAATTTTTTTTTTTTTTTTTTTTTTTTTTGGTCTTTACATTTTATCTCAGCAGATGCTCAGAGCAGGAGGGATTTCTCAGTGACCAAATCAGCAAGCTAAAGCCTTCCCAATTTGAGAGACAGCAAGCAGCCACAGTTCATCGGGGGTTGGAGCGGACACCGCGGTGAAACAGCATCCAACCCCCTTCCCACTGCTCCTGGGGAACCACCCTAACCTCTCCTCACCCTTCAGAGAGGGGATCAGGGTTTGCTCAGCTGGGCTTTTCAGGGGATCTTTTTACAGCTGCCTTTAACACCTCCACACATCTCCCAAAGCAAAATAAGACCCTGCGCTTTAATTTCAAAAGGAAAGGTCTCGCATCCTCTCCTGGGAGGATTTCTGCCAAGAGAAAGGGAATGACGCTGCAAATCTCTCCCCTTTTAAATTAAGCACCGCAGCAGCACCTTCACCCCCCGCTCTGCGGCTTAACCCAACAGAAATTCAAGAGCCTGGAGACGCAGCCAGGCTTCCATCTCCACGCTCACACCGCCTTCGCTCCTCCGAAGGCTGCATCCAGAGGCTCTCCAGGCACTGCTGGCCCTTCCAGGAGCGTTTCTTTCTTGAACGAGGCACCATCAGCATTTACAAAACCACCATTTTGAGGAAAAAGGGGCATCATTTTCCCTGGAGACTTCAGTTCTCGTTGGGACCATCACCCGTGCCAAGGCTCCAGCCGAGCTGCTGGGAAGAGGGAGGCAGGATGAACGCAGCAGCTCCTCAACCCGCTCTGCCTTCACAGCGCCACGCTGGGGGTAGATACAGGCGAATCAACCCTGCTCCACCAGGTACCCGTGCGACCTCCGTCTCACTTACCACCAGCTTTCCCAGGGTCTTGCAAAAGCAACTGCGCCAGCCGAACACAGAGAAGGAGGCCCACGATGGAGGGAGTTCACCGGTGCCCATCTCCGCATGCTGTCCAACCAGCAACGCGCGCGGCAAGGCACGCAGGGAGGCCCTGAGCACCCCTAGGCCCACGTACGCCGGGAGAATTATCTGGTGAGCCCAAGGAGGATGGGGAAACAGCTCCTTGTCAAGATTCCCTGCTGTCCATAAGGGGAAAGGAGAGGAGCAAAACACACGGCCGAGACCCAGATGCATGGAGGAGCCGAAGGAGAGTCTCTGAGCCAGGGGAAGGTCAAGCTTCCACCCCAGCTGCACGCTAGATAACGGACACGATAGCGGAAACTCGGGTCTGCTCTCCCACACAACCACCACCTGCCTCCACAGCCACGTATTTCACTAAGTGACAGAAGCTTCAAAGAAGAGGAGCTTGCCAACCCCGGGTGGCCACGGGGACTCTCCAGCTGGGCAGGACTCCAGTCACAGCAACGCCCCGGCCCCCCCCCCCCAGTCCAAACTAACATCACTGAAGCTTATGGGTTATGTTCATCGTTTCAAAACACTCAAATCTGCACAGCTCCATTAAGCTGCTATTTACCCCCCAAAAAAAGTCATCTAGACATCTGCTAAAGGATCAGCCTCTGACCATAACCCGGGCAAGTGGGGAGACCCTCCAGGGTTCAAGGTTTTCCTTAGATCTAGTTGCAGGGGGCGTCCCCGGCACTAGAAATGCTTTCTACTTCAAACCACCCATAAAACAGTTAGGCTAACGGTATTTGAGTTTTTACTCAATGAAATAACATCTCCGAGGAACATGACAGTTTAATGGCTACAGTTGAAACCCAAGGGTGGCATTTGGGAAGAAACACAGGTTTTTCAGTTTTCTCTCCCTCTTCTGAGCTATTTCGTAGCTCTCAAGAGGACTTGCATCATCCAGGAAACCACTGGCTCCATGTAAGGAAGAAACTTCTTCACCTCCTGTCTGGTCAAGGGGGGTGGGTCACAAAAGACCAAAATATTAACAAAAAAAAATCCCACAAAGGCAAGAGTGTGAAAAGCTCAGGGTGAGCAGTTCGAACCATTTTACCTCTACAAGTAATTCACTTTGGCCCTTAACTGTTTTGTTGCCTTCCCTCAGATAACCATGTCCTCAAGTGTTATCAAGAACTCAGCAACATCATCTCACCTCGCTTATTGAAGAATCTCCCACGGAACTGAAGGGTTCTTCCAAGACACACTTAAAAACCCAGAGCAGAGGAGGGCCGCCTGATCTCCCCACACCCCCCAGAAGAATCCCTGTCCCAAAGACCCTCCCCAGATTTGTTCCCAACGAAGCACCCAGTGACAGAGCGCCCAAACCCCACCCCCCAAAACTCCTTCCACCACAGGCTCCCATTCAGGAGGCAGGTCCGGGGCAAACGGAGATACTCTGCGCACCGCTGGCGGCCGGGCAGGCTTGTCCGACCCTCCCACAAAAGCTGGCTTCGCCACGCAATCCGACATTTCTAACTGCTCCTCCCCCTTGTACTCCCCGATTTTTTCCCCCAAAGACGATACATGACACGGAACCACAGCTCGCATGATGGTTTCCTGGGGATTTTTTTTTTTTTTAAATCTTAGTACCTTTTCTTTAAAAGGAAGACTTGCTCTGAAGTTCGCAAGCACCCCAGTTTGCCTCTTCTCAAGCTCGTGCCTCCTCCTCCGCCCAAAAATAAGTACACCGAGTGCAGCCCGATGCTTGTTTCAGGGAGGGGAGAGGTGGAAATCTCACCTGACTCGTCCACATTCAGTTAAAAGAAGAGAGCAGGAACACCTTGAATAATAGCATCCCTTTATTTGCTGACACCATTACAAAAACTGATTACATTAGCAACCAAAAAAAAAAAAAAAAAGGAGTGTTTACTTGAGGTTGAAGTCAGAGGCAGCTAATCCCAAAAACGTAATTAAGTAAAACAGTGTACAACATCGGTATTAAAATGTTATATCCCATTGGTGACTTTACCACGTTGGAGTTTTCTGAACAAGTTTTATTGAGCAAAATAAGATAAAAGATTATGTGTTTACTGTCTCTCCAGGAATGTAAAGGTCTAATTATCCAAACAGGTTTGTTTTTATTATAAAACTAAACTCTGGAGGTGTCTACAGAGTTGGGTTTTTTCTTTAAATCAGTAGTCTAGCAAGGATTAGAAAAGACAAAACTCTGTTCAGTGTTTCTGACGAAGTAGAAAGGGTGAAAACATAAATAAGGCTTTAATTTGGCAAAATATAATACAATGCCTTCTGCTATCCTCAAATTAACGATTCCCCCGTGACTTCATTCTGCAAGAGAAACACAAAATGCCACGTCAGCCAAGCAGTTTCCGAAGGGCAGTGCTCAAGCAAATCCGCGCCTTGCCAGCACTTCAGCGGCTCACGCCAGCCGCTTCGTTAGCATGGGCCCACGGCGAAGCCCAGAGGAACAGGCTGGGGCGGTGGAGGCTGAGCAAAAGCAGCCTCCCAGAGCAGAGGCCAAGGTGCAGGTAGCACCTTCCTCCCACCCGTGCACCAAGCCCGTCCTACGAGACTGGGCTCAACCCCACCATGAGCACCCTCTTACCAGCCCTTAAGACCAGCTCTGCTGCCCACGTTGTATTACAGCAGCAGGAGCAGAAAAAAAATACCTAAATCAGGAAAAAAAAACCCCACCAAGTCCCCATCCTCCCTGGGAGGGAGTTCTGACACTTTGTGTAGCAGCTCGTTCAGTGCCAAGGCTCTGCTGCCTCTCAGACCGAACAGTTCACAACCCACCTTCAGACCCGGCTCACAGCATATCTAAGTAGAGGCTCACAAGCTGCATCAGCTTCCTGAGAAAGTTCAGTGTCTCGAGTTTATCCGACCGTTAGCTAACTTTGGGTCGCTTAAAGAAGTTTATCAGCATGATGCAGTCAACCACAAAGGCCCAGGTTTCCAAGTTGGCTGTATATTAAAGTAAAAGCTTTGTTTGCCTGTCTATAATTGGATGAAGAGTTCGTGCCAGACCGATGCTTCAGATACTCATATCCCCGTGACCACAGCAAGCCATCGCTGTTAACTCAGTGAAAGCCCAGTGGGCTGCTTTATATCCTCCATCCCAAAGCAATCAGAGCAGGGAAGTGTAGACACTTTGCTCGTGTAGCTGGGACGAAGGAAACGAGGCACAGGCAGTGGGAGAACAAAGCTGCTGCATGAAGTGGCAAGTAGTGGAAGGGAAGGACAACGTTGCATACCCAGAGAGGCGCATGGAGACACGAGATGAGTCCCAACTAACTGAAGTGTGGATCCAGAGAGGGACAAATCTGGTGCCTACTAGAAGCTTTTGATGAATTGCACGTAGACAGTTTCAGATTTTGACACCCGACTTGTTAAATCTGAACAAGGTCCCAGCATCACAGACCAGTGTGCTTCCTGACAGCCCCCCCCGTTCAACTCGACGGCCACCAGCCGCACCTACCTACTAGCTGGTAGTGTTCTCGTCCCTTTGACAGCATTTGGCTTACTGACACGAGCAGCTTCTTGAGATGACCTACATCCTGGTTAAGATTCACCACCACATTTAGTCTTTTATCAGTCAATTCCTGGAAGAAGGAAAAAAAAATCATTAAAAACTCATTTAGAATCTAATTACCAAGAAAGCCTAGAATTAGATCCTCCGTATAAAATTACAACTCCTTGCACAGATGGGAACAACTCTTGTCAGTCAGAGTATGGGCACATTTAAAGAGAACATGGTTCAAAGCCAAGAAGCCGTTTCCTGTTCCAGGGAATTACCTGCACACGCCAAACGCCAGCGAGAGCATCGCTGGCCTCTGGCCCCCACCCTCCCTGCCCGGGACTCCACTTGACTCGCTGCTTCCAGGAATTGTGCTCGTAACAACTTCTGAGGCTGGATCAGCTGCGGTTACCCCATGTCCCCACAAGCCCGGCTGAAAACCCCACGCAGATGAGAGCACGTGCTTTATTACACAGGCTGCTAAGCACAGTGATGGTGGGCCCAGCAGGAGGGATGACTCCTGACCCCCGCAGCTGTAACAACGAGGCTGCTGGACCTCCAAGGACTTGGTCTGTATGAGGATCTGTGGAATGGTGTCCTCAGCAACATGTAATACCCAAGCACAAGGCAGTTCCAGCTGTGAAACCATTTGAAACAGCTGGCTGGAGATACACACCTTTCCCCACCCACGCCACAGCACCGGCGCTCCCGTTCAGGCTCGGGACATGGGCTGCTGCCCACCACCCATCCCGCAGGTTCACCCTCTGCTCCGAGCCCCTGTGAAATTCCTGCTTGCCAGTGATACCTGGACTTGGATAAGGACTTCACAAAGCAGCCTAAGCACCAGGCAACACGGAGAAACGGAAAAAAGAAAGCTACCAAGAGCTAGAAAACTGGTTTCTTGCTCTGAAATGAAAATGCTGAGCTTGCTTTTTTTTAAAACAAAAATAAGTGCCTTTTTTTTAAGGAGTTCAGTTTATTAATAGGGAAGTGTCACAACTCGAAATGGACTCTTCCTCTCTTGTCTGCCCTCCTCCCCAAAGTCAGTCTTGCAGAGCTAACGGTGATATGATCCCTGTTTTATTACCTTTATTGATTAGCTCCTCCAGAGACATACAAAGAACTCCACATCTAAAACACGTTACTACTCCTTATCCAACTCATAATACAGACGTGCAGATAACCTGTAGGAGAGCTTTCCCTTGCAATTTAGCAGCTAAAAATAAGCAGCTCTGCCTTGGTGTCAGAGATACAGAAGTACCCAATTCTCAACACGAGCACAGAGGTATTCACAAGTGCTCAGCATCAGCCAACCCCACTCCAGCTGAAAGCGGTTTTACTAACAGAATGAGACTGATGCATAATGCTGCAGCAAATCTCTCCCTAGAGTTTCAGGGAAATTAGAGTGAGTTCAGAGAGGGCCACTTTCCCGGCTCCCATTCGGCTGGAAATGCCACTAGACTTGCTGTAATGCAGAGCAGGCATTAAATCAAACTTAACCACCTGCACCATTACAGAGACTACTCTGGGCTCAGGCAAGAGAACAATATACTGCAAAGCTCTTACTTAAGTGCAACTGGTAAACGTTTTTCTACTCTAAAGAATCATTGGGAATCTGTATTAGGGTAGCCTTAACCTATTTTACCCTTATTAAAGTAGAAAATCAGGTCTCCTAAGCGAATTCTCAGTCTTGACAATCTCACACGGATTGATGAAAGTGGAAAGGCAAATGCAATTAGCATCTCAGCGAATGAATCGCAGCACTGACCGATAGCGCTGGGTATGAGGGTGCATGTGCATTAGCATAGAAGCCATCATGAGCAGAAGCAATGAAGGAGCCTTTCAATTCACTCCCAGCCCTCATCTCTGGGAAGAGCTCTTCTCTCCCTTATTTACTTCCTCTCCCTTCTGTTTTGTGGCTTCGCTAATCTCAGGCAGTGTTTACTCATGAATTATAGACACATCCCCAACCTTCCTGGGGCCAATCCTGACCAGCTCCCGATGGATTTGGGCTCAACACAATCCCGCTGCAGCTTCTGCTAACCCAGGAGTGCAAGACTGCCTTATGCAGCCGTTGCTGTGCCGCAGCCCCATGCTCTCCCTGAGTCGGGGGAAAGCATATCTTTGGGATATGGGGATGAGGAGAGGAAGAGGATGGCAGTGGGGAACCCCCTGCGATCACAGACCCGGTAGCCAAGACAGGCACTGAACTGACAGATTCCCCTCCACCATGCTTTATGTGTACGGCATTTCCAGTTTTCAATGGTAGAGTGTTTTACACTGAGATCTGGGGGGAAAAGCACATTAGACTTCATATAAGCCTCAAAATAAGTTTACTGCCTAAGCAAGCTGCTGAATATAAATGACTTCCTTAAAGCATACTAAAAGGCACCCTTTAGTCATCATCTAGTCCCATAAGTGACAAGGAAGCGGATTAGAAAAACCAAATGGTCTGTTTTTAAATAGAAAGAAAAGGAATCTAAAGAAAACACATAGAATGTGTTTGAGGCCTTACACAAGCATCATTTCTCAATTTTGTGGGTTGGTTCCAGTACCCAGAAGGAACAAATATGCTCATTTTTGAGCATGTGTTTTCAGGTCCTTCTTAAAAAAAGAGACACTGTTGCTAGGTGGAAGTGGCTGGAAGACTTTCTTTTTTAATCTGAGAGCTATTTTAAGCTGGGTTTTTAGGCTTCTGGTGAGACAGCTTTTTCTTTCCCCTCAAAAAAAAAAAGCAGCAAAAAGGGCTTGGGGAAGAAGATAATTCTAGCCTCTGCCAATGGCTACCTGTCAAGAGTGCTGCTTAGACAGTTAAGGTATTTTTACTAATGAAGGCTTAATTACAGGTTTATTAGGACTGTTTTTCCATGCTCCTCTTCAGAATAAAGTGATGGATTTTCTGGAGGAAACCTGGTTCGGGTTCCACGACGTGCCCACGCAGCTACAGTGGAGCAATGCACGAGCCAGAGGGGTTACACAAGTTAAGGGTAAAGCAATTAAATCAAACTAGCATACTCAGGCCATAGCAGGGCACATCTAATGACACCCAGCTCAGGAGAGGGCTCACCAGTGTCACCAGCCACAAAATGCCACGGCTGATGGCATCGTTGTTCTGATGTGCCACTTGGATAAGCCATAAAGGCACAGCAGAGGGCAAGCAGTTTGGCACTGGTTTGAGGAGGGCTTTTCTTCTCCAGCCTGCTGCAGACAGGGACACAGAGCGCCCAATTGTCACCATCACTGGCTGGCCTCCCGCTGGCAACACAGGAGAGGGCTTGGCAGACCTACCGTCCCTCCCAGGAAACCAGCTCACAGGGTTGGGATATCCGTGGTCTCGCAGGCCCAGCTGCACCTCTGGCTCAGACATGGTGAGCCCACAACGCAAGGGTCGATCAGCTTCCAGAGTGATCAGTCATGGATAAGCCACTTCATTTCGAATAATGACTACAAAAAGCAAAGGCTTTTCTACAGTACTCCTTAGAGGACTCCTAGCTTCCTCTCACAGCTGAGGAAGTTACTTATTTTCAGCAGCTAAAAGGAGTCGATATAAATTATTTGTCCTACCAGCAAGTGCTCCTCTCCCCCTCAAATGACAGTATTTCCTTCCACTCTACCCATCAGTAGAAAATGGGTAATGAGTTCCATTGACACCACTGAGCTGTGTAAAACGTGCCGAGAAGGCATCTGCTTTAGCCTTCCCCTTCCCAACTGCCTTCTGGAAAGCTGTTCTGAAGCTATTTTGAAGCTGGTGTGAAAGCTCTCGTTTCCAGAGACGGAAAAGCCTGCTTACAAAGCCACGATTCAACCACTTGTACAGGTGGTGTCTTTTTAGGGCCAGCACTCGGAGTACCAGCTACACAAGCAGTTCAGCAATCAACCGTGCTGAACAGTAACCCACAGGCTCAGGCAAGTCACCTGCAAGCGTGAAAACAGGCCAGACAGACAGGCTCCACCCAATTCCAGACCCTGCAACTGCAATGCCGTTACTGGAGGATATAAAACCACCATCAATCTGGAGAGCTGCCCACCCACAGCACAAGGCAGCGCTCAAGACTGTTGCTTACTGAAGCTCAGGCTAGAAAGATTTTGCTGCTGGACCACTTCTAGGTCAGCACAGATTTCCAGGAGACAGGACCTGCTGAAGTTGAATTTAGGCACCTACCAGGGGCTAAGGACAGGCTCTTGCCCACAGCTGCAGAGGACCAGAAGGGGCAATGTTCTGGCAAGAGACATTGTCTGCCTTGGTGTTACAGGGCATGCAAGACTGCCTTCTTTCTTTGGCGTTACAGATGTCAGCAAGTGTCAACCCAACAGTTAATATTTTAAGCTCATGTAGTAATGAGCAGATTTATTTTTAGCCTCCCTTCTTGAAAGAACACGTCTAGGGATCTTCCCCAGACTCTTCCCACTCTTGCCCAAACTAAACCAACAGCCGTTTGAAGCCCAAATCTCATGTCCAGAGTCTCTCCCCTTCCTCCTTACAAATTTGAGCTATGGGAAAGAGGTCACGATCCAGCTGACAGCAGAACTCCCAACGCTTAGAAAGATGTCGGCATCCTTGGGATACAGCTCCAGGACACCACCCTGACAAGTTGTAGGACAGGAAGTTTCATCAAGCCTTAATTTACCATCAGCAGAACACGTCCTGTTGCTTTGCTGGACCTCACTTCCCAAAGTTCACATTTAGCATGAGATTTGCATTGCCCCTGAGCATGGGCCGAAAAGAAACACTCACCGACTCTGTGCAAACATCGCTGTTTTCAATAACGTCGGCATCCCCAACAACTTTTCCAATTTCCCTCTCAAGAGATGCCAAAGACTCCTGGGCCTGTAGGGGAGAAAAACAAGAACAGGGGAGGCACAACAATTAGCCGAGGCTGAGAAGCAAACCCCCACCTCTCCAAGAGCACTAGAGACACAGGAAGTCACTGTTCAGGAGGAAATCTGTTTTATGCCAGATTCGCTCAGGGGACCAACACATTTCCCAAGATTGACATGTCTCCTCGCAATCAGCATGTTGCATGTCAGCCTGCCTGCTTTTGAAAGCAATTCTACAGGGAAGCTTTAAATAGTGTCATGTCAAGCTATCAGGTAAAAATTGTGCAGCGAGTTTTTTGTGTAAGAGTAACAGCACAGGCAGGTCCTCCAAAAGCCTAATCATAGATCTGCATTTATATAGAACATACACCATAAACCAGGGGACGTCAGCACAGCTCACTTCATATGCCAACATCCAACATAATTGTGCTGAGCAAAATGTTTTAAACACCTTATTGCAGCAGGCCTCCTTGGTCTTCTCACCTCCTAGCAGTGCTTTTGTGATCATCTGTCCCTGGTCCCAGAACAAGACCTGCCTCACCAACAGCTCTCCCCACTCCAGCCCTGCAAAGACACAGCCTGACTTCCTCACTAGGCATCTTCCCTCCCCTCTTTCTGTCACTTTTCCCTGCTGAGCTACCTAGCTCCATTTCTGGTACAGCCTTTGCTTCTGATGGACACAGTCCAGCCTTAGGGAATCATCTCTAAGAGCTGTGGGATAGATCCCCTCCCAGCTTGCCAGTCTGGCCCTTGCTTTGCCTCCTTCCTCTGCCTCCCCATCGCAAGCGAAGTGCTATCCCTTTTCTAACCCCTGTGCAGTTATTCTCACGTTCCTTAAGGACAGGCTCACTGTCCATCCTCTGTACTTTGCGTCATGCCCTCCTCTCACCCCCAAATATTGTGAGATGGCACAGAGGTGCTTAATGTTTCATTAAACCTACTTCAGGCTGTCCCCTGTGACAAGAGCCCAGCTTCCACGAGCAGGCACATTGCCAGGGCACCAAGACCACGGCTGACCCTGTCAACCAGCCCACTGGTCCACCGCTGACAGGCCTTAGGGTAACCCAAGAGACAGGATAGCTGTAGAAGATACAGCTGCTGTTGAGCCCAAAGCACTAGCAACCTTGAAGACTTATGTATTACTTCCCAGTCTCATGTTACACTCATGGCTGAGAAAGCAGCACCACAGAAGGAACAAGGTGTTACACAGTCTGGATCCAGAGCTCAGCCACTCTGCAGGCTATTCTTGTCTCCATTTATCAATTCTCCCATGAGAGGTTCATTTCTGGGGTGACAGACAGCGCCGAGACCTCTCATGCCTAAAGATTTCCCACTCCAATCCATCTTGCAAGAGCAGCCATTGAGGAAGAGCAGCAGTAACCCACCCGCTTGTCTCCTCGAGCTTGCGTAGAGCTAACTTTAAAGATTTGCAGTCTCCTGGGTTACAGCCAATGTGTATCCACACGAGAACAGGCAGGTGGCTTGTAAACCAACTTGTAACCACTACCATTTGAGACTGGATTTAAAAGCTTCAGGCTGTGGTGGGGGTGTAGGGTTGTGGCATGGGCTTTTTGTTAGGCTGGGTTTCTTTAAATAAAGAATTATTTGTCAAATCACCACTTGTTCCCATTGGCATAAAATCATCATGAACACGAGACTCTTTCAAGAAGGATAATTAAACAGAGCTGCTAGGTGCATTTTTATCATTTCAACAGACATGCAGGTATCTTGCATGACCTCTTACACCCACAGTCCCAGTCACCTGAGGAACCAGCGAGTGGAGTAAGACACCCCACCAGGCAGGCAGTCTGCTCAAGCCGCTCAAATCACCACGTTTTCCAGCACTGCACAACTACAGATCTTGAGGGTTTCAAAATCACATTTAGATCTGCAACTGTTAAATGTCTCTGTTTACCTTGGGCAAGTCACCAGCTACCTTCTGTCTCTCGTTTTGATCAACTTTGAGTTTTGATAGTGTTTCGTTTAGCTGCGTCTTCAGCTGCAAAATAGTGACAAAGAAAATCAGTTGCCCTCATACACGCAGATTTTATCCGTCTGCCCCACAGATTAACCCAGTGCAGACTGACTGCAAAGGGAGCAAGATTATTAACAATTATTGCACACACTGGATTAGTCAACATGTATGATGAGGTTTACAAAGACAGTCAAGGAAGAGAGACTCCATCTGTAAAGATAAATGTAAAGAATGGAAACTACAGAAGAAGAGACATGGTTGGCATCAGCTTGATCACAAGCGGTTTCGTCTTTTAAACTGTATTGCCAGTAGGAATATTAGCAATACTGAAAGTACATAAGCCCCTCCAGCACTCTTATCACCAGTCAGTCCAGACTTCAATTTAATTCACAGCAAATATGCAAAAACGTAGATTGTCATCTTCCTAATTCAGGGTAAACAGTCACTTTACTGCTGAAGTAAACTAAAAAGCTCTACTTGTCATCTTAATAAAGCACCACTTACTACAACTATGTTGACTTAACCAGTCTGTTAATGTCACATTAAGGCATGAATCACTGACAGGGGTATATTAAGTTGTCGATTGTGTTTAGATTCAATCCAAAAAAGTGACATTATTTCAGTCAAGAGGGATGAATACAGTGTACTGGCTGCCCTTAAACTACAGCCTTCCAAAGGATATAAACATTTTTTAAAGAATATTTCAATTACTCTTCAACACAGCATACAGAACCAGTCACAGCACTTAAGGCTTGAGCCTCAAACGGGAGTGCTAACAAGAAGCTCGAGTGCCAATTTTGTTGGATTTGTGCCTCTGAAGTGCACTGTGCTAGTGTTCACTACTCCTGCCGTCAATCTTCTCAGGAGCCAGCAGGGGATTAAAGAAGTGAACAATAGGCTACTCAGAGCCCTGAATTCTCACCAATTCCAAACCTACGCGTTATATTTCTCACACCCTTGGAAGGTTTCCCCCCCTTTGGACCACCTGGACCAGTGGATGCTGTTTTTCTACATTCTGGGGAAGCACTGTTGAGCTCCTCTGCAGTTTCAGCTTCTCTCCTTGCTCACCTTATAAATCAGTGGGAAACGCATTTTGAAATCCCATCATTTACATTCCTCAGCCTCCCGCCTACTGCAAAAAACCACTCATATACACTGGACAGCATTCCTGAGCCATTTGCATGAAGGTAGTTGTTTACCACCTCCTCACGCTCCTACCAGCACAGCATCATCTGATTGCAGAGTCAAGCTGCCCTAGCAGGGAGCTCAGCTTTTTAAGCTTTTGTTGTTACAGACATAACAGATTGTTGCCTCTTACATTCAAGAAGTTGGCGTTTACTGATTAACTGTAAAATATGCATTCAATTCCCATTTCCCTTGCTTTCAAAACAAGAGGCTTTGGTTGCTGAGGCAGGATGCTAATCGATGCTGTCCTAGACTTGCCAAGCATACTATTAAACTTCAGCAGATTGTTATTGTGGGTTTGGTTTTTTTTAAAATCAACTATTTTAATCCAGTTACATTAGTGGCAGTACCCTGGTGAGATGAGCAGCTCAGCCTGCAGTGACAGGTTGTCCCATCAACTACTCTAAAACCTAGACGTGGTGACAGGGACAACCTTCCCCTGATTCTGGCTCGAGAGCAAGAAAGCACTATTCAAACACAAGCGGAGGAAGGATCTGTCTGCTCCTGCAGCCTTAAAAACACATCACTGAAACGAGTGAGAAGTGAAAGGACTCAAAATGGAAAACCATGCATCTTTGGGTCTATAGGTCTGGCCTCAGTTAATCCAACTCCTTCTTGAGAAAAACCTGGTATAGGAGCGTTATGGGCTGGATAGCATTGCTAGCCAAACACGCGGTAACACAGTGCATGCACCAAGCCAGAACAGCTATTCAGCCACATCAGGATGCCAGCTGCTGAATGGCTGGATACTCTGAATTCATCTAACATTTGTTTTGGCCAATTTCTGTACATACAGAGGAGGATGGAAGAGACTCCGCACAGTCAGAGCACGGATACCACAGCTGCATCCTCAAAAGCTTTGGAAAAAAACAACCAGAGAATAATCCTCAAATTAAAAACCTAAGAGAACACAACTTTTGTTGCTCCAAGGACATTATATTTGCTGTTGTGTACGTCTATACTGTAAAACATTGATTCTCAAGAAGTTTCAGGAATGAAAGTCTTACAGACTTTGGAAAAAGTATTAAGAACCAGACATGCTATTGTTAGGAGCGGAGAAAGAGACAAATTGTAAAAGTCAAGACTACATAAATGACTGCAATGGATAAAAATATCAAGCTGAAGAGGTTAGCAGAACAGACAGGATTTGAAATAAGCCTCCACTTCATAAGTACGCTGGGAGCCTAGTTTGTGCCCAGCAGAGAACGAGCTTCTTACCAAATTTAACTCTTCATTCTGTCTTACTGCTTCAGAATATGAATCATCAAGTTTTTTCTGCAATTCAGTCAACAGATCTTTGAGCTGAAATGAAGTTTAGAGTTTTAGGATTTGTCTCCTTAGGATGCCCACTTTTCTTCTGCTCAGTTATTAGTGTGTCACTCTACCCTAAGGTCACAAGCATATAAACTCCTCAGCCACGGGGGCTAAGCATTAGATTAGTTTGCCAGCCAACTGGTAACCAAACAAAAGAAAAGAACAGTTTGGTCAATAATGTTTACCTCTCTGACTTCTGAAACATAAGTAGATCGTTCTATTTCTGCCTTTTCTAGTTCACTTTCCAAATGTTCTCTCTCTTTTTTGAGCTAGAAACAGAAAAACAGAGTTAAAACAGATGTTTTCAGTGTTTTCTTGCAGTATCATTTTCCTGGTTTATTATTAGCTATAAATTTCTATCAAATACTCCGTGACATTTAGAGAGCATTTCAAATCCAGTGATCGCACAGCAGAGATTTAAACTGTTACATTTCAAAAAGATAACAGGAAAAAGAATTAAGCCCAAGATCATCATCAAGCAGTAAACTGCTCAGTCTCACAAGCAAAGAGCCCCAGTGGGTGAGTACAGAAGTAAAAACCAGGACAACTTCCAGTACCCAGCTTCTCTCCTTCTTAAAGACACCGGCCGAAAGATTCAGTTTGAACTGCAGCACAGGCCGCACTACTTGCAGGAGAGAAGTCCTAGGAAGTTCAGACTTACAGCATAAGCCTAAAGCGTGTTTTAAGTAACAGAAAGCTTCAAAGAAAAAACACCTGCACGTACAGTTTCAACTTCTTTGATTTCTTCCTTTAACCTCTCTACCTCGTGCTCCAAGGAAACAACCGAAGAACGCATCTGCAGTTTTCGAGAAAGACAAATGTATCGTTTAGTTGGGTTGGTCTAAGACAAACTCTCCATACAGACACAAGCTTGCTTCTACGATTTAAAAATATTAAGGATGAAATCACAGCGACTGAATAAGATAAAGATGTTCACTCAAATAATTCAATATACTGAGTCTCCATTATAACACTTTTCCCACCTTCTCCCAACATAAGTTCTCTGGTAGTTAGAGCCTACATGCCTAAAAGATTTGGAGAATAAGGACTAAGCCAGTTGTCCATTAGCCATGGCAAGGGAAATATGTCTTTTCCTAGACAGGGAAGACTGTCTCCATCCATGTATTATATGTAGCCAAACCCAGCATATTTAGCCTTATTAAAGGCTGCGTAAGTGCAGCAGATGGTAGCACATCTATAGTTCAAGATCTGACAGCCTTTTACAAGCCCCTCAAACAAGATGTTTACAAATCATCTATCTGTTTGCTTCAGGCTCATACTCCAGCACTCAAATTTACTAAGCAGAAGTACTTTACAAATAATTTCTTTCAAAAAAAACCCAAACAGTTTGACCTACTTTAACTCTAGATTAGGAAAAACAACATAAAAGGCTTTGTTCTTACCACTCTTGCTAGCAACAGAGCCTTCCTAAAAAGGAAAGCTTTGCAGGCAATTTCAAGTGTAATTAGTTGACCATAATGGATTAAGCACTATTTTAACAGCTTCCAAAAAATCATTATGATTATATGATACAGACTTTTTGTGCTGAAATTTAAGTATCTGTTCACAAATGGACTTTGAGAAAAACAGATGCTTAACAGTCTGAGTTGCCAGGATCAGAAAAATATATGCTCCTGGGCACATTAATGGTACACATGTACATTCCTGAATCTTTGGCTTCCTATCCCATCAGCATTAATATTCCTACGTGCTATTTGGCTGCCTCCTGCATTACCCGCAAAGGACTGTGACACAGACTTGCCATAACGGCCAAAGACCTTATACTTGTGCCATTCATTTGTTCTTGCTACTCTAAAGATGGCAACAGGAATAGCCACACAAATCTAAAGACACCAACAATTCCTCCACTTTTTAGTTTTTTAAATGGAAAGATCTTCCTCAAAAAGTGAAAGTCACTCTTAGCATGAAACTAAGCATCAGAGCACCAAAAATCCTACTGTTATAAGGAGGGATCATTCCTATTAAACTGGTTGCAGACTTCACCTTTGTCATCCACTGGTCACACACACAAACCAGGCAGCCAGGGCTGCTGTACACCCGCCTTCACAGCGCTTGAACACCCTCTGCGACTTCAAGCAGAAGCTGCCTGGCTGCCGCAAAAAGCAGATCTTCAGAAATACCTGTGTAAGTTCCTTCTGTGATTCTTCAACTTTTATCTTCCATTTGCTTTCTTCCTCTTCCACACTCCTCTGTAGCCTCTGTAAAATCCCCTCCTAAGAAGAGAGCGGGGTTTGAAAGCTTACAGCTGAAGGCAGCTTGCAACAACACAAGGCACAGGCGACCAGGCATCCTGCTTACCGTCTCTGCCAGAACCGATTTGTATTTCTCGCACTCTAGTTGCAGCAGTACATGCATTTCCTCGGCCTCCTTCAACTTCTGCTCCATCGCCTGGCAAAGAAAAGGGACCAGAAGAGTCACGTCTCAGCTGATGGATTTGAGTTCTGTTATTTATCTTATTTCAACAAGCAAGCTAGTATCATGCACATTGGCAGGCCTTTCTTTCCAACCCACGCGAAGACAACAGCAAGTGCCATGTTCACCTACAACTCTCAATACTCCATCACAAACTTTATATGAGTTACTGCAGTAATTCTGAGTCGCCTGAAAAAACCCAGTTACTTGAAAAAGGGAACAAGGATTTTGGATTTCATGAACATTTGCACAATTCCACAAGGTGCTTTTCGAAGATGCAAATTCATTTCTCATTTACAAGATGCAAATTATCTATAAAAATTTGTCACCTGTTCGCCAATTTGAACTTCACAATCCAGAGCACAATTTACAAGATTTATACTGGAAAAATACACTATGCCACACACAAGCAAGTCGTCCACTGTTTGTGCCTACCTTGACATCTTCAGATCCTGAAGCCTCTCTCAAGTACTCTTTAGCCATCTTTTCAAACCCACATATCCATTCACTATGGCTCTGTTGGGAAAAGCATTCTGTTAGAGCTGAGAATAACCTCAATAAATCTACCTTCAGGACATCTGCCTCCCAGCTGCAGGCTTACGGAGCAGTGTTTCAGTCCCCTAATTCCCCGGAGCTAACACACAGGCTGACAGCAGTCATTCAGCTAGTACCACACAAAGCTGAGCAGAGCTGACAGTCGGCAGGCAGCAATCCAAGAGCACGAGGTTACGAGCGAGACGGTTCACAGGGGCTTGGAAGTGCTGAAATACAACTGGGTGACAGAGATCTCCCTGCAAGCGCTGGGGCTCTACAAGAAGTATTTGAAGACTTAAGGGAATCTTTTCCAAAACCCCTGAGCAGTTAAAGCAGATGCTTGCCACATAATTCTAGGGACCTCGCTAGGAAGACCGAAGCCTTACAGAAACAGCCTGTTTAAAGACTATTTCTAGTTCATCAGGAGACTAACTTTAGCACATTTAAGAATACTTTTAAGTATGACTATTCTAAACTTTTAGATGTTACAAATGAAACGCAGACCCCAGTTTTCCAGCCTCACTTCACATCATTCACACAATCTAAACCACATGAAGCCAGCGCACTTCCCTTGAAAACAACTGAAAGCCACCACGAATATGAAATTGGAAATGGGTGGTTTTCAAAAGGAACTTCGGGAGCAAACCAAACCCTCCTGAATTGTATGAACTGGCACCGAGGCAGCGCAGCCCCTCTGGAAAGGGGGGCTGGCTGTTATCCACACAGCCGCCGGGGAAGATGGATCCCCGTTGTGCCAGACAGTGAGCAAACACACAGCAGACCTTATCCGCCCCTGAAGATTTACTATCTCGGTTAGACACAAGATAACACCACACAGATGAAACAGATGTTGGGGCAGTTAAACACACAAGATAACGATAACTTTTTTGTTTTAACACTTTTCTTGAAGCGTTATCTGCAGCTTTGCCTCTTTGCTGCTCGCAAGTATGGGTATTGCCAGCAGAAGACACTCACGTCCCACTGCAAAAGCCCTGGGACAGAGGGGACCATGGGGAAGCGCTCCAGGCTGCCCAGCACAGCAGGACCGGAGCTCCCCGACCCCCAGCAGCAGGGTAGGAAGAGCCACTTCTCTTACCACGTTAGAAGGAAGAGAGACTTTAGGGAACAGCTTCTGGAGTAGTTCGCGCGTCTCCACCTCGGCAGCTTCCAAATACTGCTGCTTCTCCTAAACCAAGAGAAGAGTTCACGTGAAATCGGGCAACACGCTCCTCGGACCTGGCAGTAGCCTGTTCTATGCCTAGAGTAACTTACTTAACCCAGAAAGTCATTTAAGTGAGAAAGGCTCTATAGTCTGAAATTGCCAGTAAACTGCTTCAAAAATTGACACTGAATTGCTTCAGAATTCAGCCTTCGCTTTTAAGCTTTTATTTTCATTAAGTTCTCCTCCAATCTAGCCTCTTCGTACAGAAATTACACCATCATTCACTTGTTCACAACACAAACTACACTGTGCTGAGTAACCGCATCCACAGATCACACCAATCCTGCCACTCAAGTTGAGCGATCTCAAAAAACAAGAACTTTGGTCAATCAACAATGTTTAAAAAAAATCCATGCTTATTTTAAATAATTTTAGCGGGGGAAAAAAGTCACCATAAATCAACATCACAGCATCAAAAACAGAGAATTAAAGTCAAAAGGAAACTTTGTGTTAATGCACATTTGAACCAGGCCAAGAAAGCAAAAGACTATCTTCTAATATTACTTTGAAGTACTCAAGAGGGAGACCCTTACATCCTCCTCCCCAAGCTTGGATGCAATGGGAAATAATTATTAGAGCTGCGTGACAATCTCCAGGTTTTCTTTGTCATTGCTCTGCGAATATAAATACACAGAGCCAAGGGCGCCACAGATCCATCGTTCCATTTATTTAACATTAAAAGCAGAGCAGCCATGGGAAATTTGCTTGCTGTGCTTGTGGCAGATTGATTTAATTTAGCCATACGACACTCAGGCTCCCGTACAAGTTTAAATGCAGAAAGCCTGAACTCCTGCACAGAAAGCAGCTTTCAGCAAAAATCCTTCGCTAATATTTGGGTTTGTTTTTTTTCTTTGACATCAGTGTTACTGCGTCCTGCTGCTCCAAGTTCCTCTGCTGCAAGAGATCGGTGGCATTAGTAGGTGAGATTCAGAGACAGAAACGGACAGGAGACATTAGGTTGTGAAGTTGTACTAAGTGTGTTAGTTTTCAGCGATTTAGGAACCACCGAGAAGTGGCAAATGGCTGTTTGATGAAGTCTTCCGACTGCAAGAGAAAGCAGGCAAGCGTTAGCACACAGCAAAAGCAGGTACACAACTTCTCTGAACGCGGGGCCGAGCAAAGAGCGGAGACATCTCCAAAACACAGACACACAATCCCAAACCAGAGCTCCTCTGCTTCTAGCTACCCGACTTGTGTTTTTAAAGTTATTTTGATGCTTTTTTTTGAAGTGTGCATGGCCACAGTTAACACCAAATCAGGCTCATAGCAAATGCAAACTCCTTTCAGAGCAAGTCACACCCTGTATCATTTTGAACATTGGCTCCGACGGGACCTGTCGAGCTTCATATGCTTTCAAGGAGGAAATTCATAGCTGTGGTGACACTGTTTTCCTGAGAAGTTCCCAGGTTTTTAAATAATAATTGAGTCCTAGTTCTTCATGTGTCCAATAAATTTATTCAAGCCCAGCAAAAGCCCAGTAGACGAAAGCAGGTGGCTCACCAGCAGTTTTTATTCTAGTGCTCCCCACAAAGAAAAGCGACGATTCACGACAGCTCTAACAATTATGCAAACAAATCAAAAAATCAGCATGCCCAACAATTAAAGGATTAAAAAAAAATAAAGAAACCTAAAGACAACAGGAAGAAGCAGAGGTGAGAGTATATGAATGATCATTCAGAACAGACTATATTTAAACTGCAGTAAAAGTTAAATGCCTCCATTTCATTTAAAAAACCAGCTGCAGATCTGCTTCTAGCTTAACGCATTGTTTCTAGCAGTTAACATTACAACCTTGGCAGTCTTGTTCACTTTGTCCTGCAGCAATTTTTCAGTTGATGCCAATGCTTCCATTGCTTTCCAGTTTTTCTCCCGAAGGTCCTAATCATTTTTAGAAAGAATGATTTCAGTTCAGCCAATATTCAAACTGTTCCCGCTTTTACTTCAGAGATATATTTTGCATTACATTCCACCATTTGCATTTAAATGCTGGTAACTGCAAGATGATTTTGCCGGGTAAAACGACATACACTAGCAAAAACAAGTGTGATGTTCGAAGAGTTTGAATGAAAAGGGGAAAAAAAAATGCCAATTTCTGCCCAACCTGCCCCCGTGTCCAAAACTGATCCAAGTGTTACTGCAGAGCGTATCGCTACAGCGACCCCACACTTTGACTGCACTTGTAAGAAGAAAGAGGGAAGTTTTCAAAAGTAGTGAGGAACACAGACACCAAACCACAGATTACACAACAGTGTTAGGCATGTCGCGTTGCAGAACCCAGCATGGACCCAAGTATACATAGAGGTGTACACATTTATGCCCCGATCTTGCAACCAGATCTAGCTGCGTAGATCCTTATGCCTCAGCCCAAACCTCCTACGCCAGGGCTGATCTTAGAAACACAAAGCCCAGGGCCTTGGTTCACAGCATTTACCCACGCAGCACTCTCCACTGTGCCCAAAGAAAACTGCTTTGCTCACCAGCGCCCTCCTGGGAGATTTTGGGATTTCACCAGTGGCGAGCACACCCCAGATCCGCATGGAAACACCACCGTGCCATGCTGCACTCCTGCATCTTTCTTGGCGAGGTCATCAAACGTGTACTCCACAAGACGTCAACATGCAAGCTCAGTTAGGAGGCTGAGAGCTCTTATAAAAAGAGCCTCACAGCTCTTATCTATGAAGGATGGTGGGCCTTGTGGGGAGGAGATTATGGTGCTTGGGACTTAATTTTTTTTCCAACCCTCAGAACAATCTGCTTTAGCAAAGGGCTATTTTTGAAAGGCTACATTTTATTTTTTAAAATGGCATCCAAATCCTAGCATGTACCTACACTAGTTTTTACTTTACTCCTTCCATTTGCCTGCTTATCTTAAGGGCTGTTTCACAGGACATAAAACCAAGACTGGATAAAATTGCGATGTGGAAAGCTGGGACCTAGAGGCATGGTCTGCCTTTAGCAGTAGCCAGATTTCTGCCTGCACCACGAAGGGTAATTAGACCTTGCAATTCCCCAGGAAACAGGCACACATATGTTCTACCTTTCCAGCTCATCTGTCTTCTGAGACTATCCACCCACTTTCCCTCTACTTTATTTCAGCGCTTAAGTAACACTACTTGCTCAAAAGCTCACGTTCTCAGTATTTTCCTTGTGCATCTTCCCTTATATTGTCCCACTTCTAAGCAATAAAGCTTACCACACGGTATTCAGGCAATAGCCTTTATAGGCTATCACGGAGAGACAGGCGAGTTAAAAACCTTGTATTTTAACAACTTTCTTCCATATAACTTAAAAATGCCGTTCTCTTGCCCTGCACAGGTAATGTATTACAAGGAGGTAACTTCACAGCTCTGTGATAAAAGATACCATCTTTACTTCCACCAACAACCCATACTGCACCATCAGCAGCTGCTGCAAAGGAGGGCTCACTGTCCTTCACCTCCTTCAGAAGACCAGGATTAGTCACTCTTAGGAAGGGAAGAGCCAGATCCAAGAGCCCTGAAGGTAATGCTTCCTCCCATGTCCACACGCAAGGACCATAACTTGGTCAGAGCATGGCCTCCTTCATCCTCCCACCTTCCCTCCACAAACTCCCTCTTCTTCCCTTGGCAAAGGACGTGTTTCTGAACAGGGCTAACAAGGCTCGAATCCAAGTCTGAGAACTTGCTACAGGATGTGTCCCCCAGCAGGCCTCCTCCCTCTCATCAAATCAGCAACTTGTCAAAGAACTGACAAAACTTGGAGCAGTAAAGTAAGATAGGCTTAGTCACTCCCAAGAAAAGAGGAGAGGAGTGTCCAGGGGACACAATACAGCAGACAACTGTCAGAAACATTTTCTTAACAGAACTACTTAGGCATTGAGGAGTGCTGTGCACACAGGTTTGGTTGTTCTTTGAGGTTTGGGGTGGTTGGTTGGGGTTTTTTTGGGGGGGGGTAGTTAAAACTTTTTCTTCCTCAAATAATTTGCTCTACTCCTAGAAATTATTTGAAAGACTTGAATACTTTTTTTTTTCTCCTTGAAAACTTCCATCCAGTTTTATTATTTAGGTAGGTAATACCACAAATACAGATGGCATTTACCCTTGCCTTGTTTCTTCCCAATCTGTTCTCTTTTCTGACATATAAGAGATTTCAAGTGAAGCACTGACACCCTTTCATATACACTAACTTTCCTTCCCTTTCAGCAACACACTCTCTTTGAAAAGCTGCTCTCACTGACTTGGCAGTACCACTTGCTTCCTACTGCTTTGTGAACTGCGGGCTGCCAGAGCAAAGCCCATTGTAAAGCTGTTGTTTGCCTACAACAAGCATCTGCACACATTTATCAAGGCCACAGAAAGGCAACGCATTAGACGAGGATAAGTCAGCCAGCCCACACTAGTACAACGCCACAAAACAGGCACTGCCTGCTGGATAAGAGCATTCTTTTTCAAGCACCTAGTCCACAATTTATAAGTCATTTAACCTAAAAGAAAAATAATCCAGCCAGCCAAAAATGCATGACAGTGGCAATTTGTATAGCACAGTAAAAGCCAGCACGGCATTAGCTTCCACATAGTTCTTTGGTGCACTTCAGCTCGTTATATCACACTTTTACCCCTGAGACTTTCCCTGGAAAAAGATTTCTAACAGATGATTTTATAATATGAACAACCACCCTCTACTAAGCTGAAGTTCCAAGAAAAAAGCCTGTCACTTCTGCTTGAAATACCAACATTTAACTCTTCAGACAGAGCCGAGCTGGCATGCATTTAAAATTAAATCAATCATGGCTTGCTCACATCGTGGGCACAACATACTGCAAGCGCTGTCTGCAGAAGACTGCGGCTGAGGATTATTAGCGTGAGCAGAAGAATCTCTATGTTCACGTTTTATTAGATAGCAAAGTGGTTTTTTTACTGGCCACTTCTCACACACTGATATTGTACCTTTGGCATTTATTTCATCTTTTAAATTTCCTGAGCAACAGGTGAAAAGAAGCACTTATTTATTGCATTCAACTTTTGGCAGTACTCACACTTGCAGAAGCTCCTCACTTTGGACAGCCAGAGATGCCTATAAACAGATCGGAAACTCATTATGAGCAGATCAGCAGCAGAGTGATGCAGAGGGCATGATCTACCTCGTTAACCAGGCACTGCTGCAACACTAAGCAGCTGCACTTTTGGCCTTCGAGGGAGTCCTGTCCAGCCTCCTTTGGCCAGAAGAGGCCTGGCTGTGATACAGCGTGTAAAGACAGGGGTGGAAAGCTAGACAAGAACACAGCAGGCATAAGGAAGAGCACAAGGCTGCAAACTCACACGATAAAGGGAAGCAGGAACAGATATGCAACAGCCAGAAAAGCTGGCTTAGTGCAATCCAAGCCTGAAGCTGTCCCTGCATTTGCACGGTCAATACAACTACTGGTTTTCCATGCCGTCCATACAAGCTACCACCACCCCCTTTGACTTCATTCAGTAACACTGCAATTGGAAGCTGTACCTGTTTGCAATTCTCCTGCTTTAATTCTTGGATTTGAACTTTAAAAGAATCGTTTTCCTTTTGCACATCCTGTTGAAAGAAAAGAGGCAATATATACACGTATACATATAGATATACACTCACAATGCATACACTCCTTACAACACAAGACACTTCCATCAAAATTTTACCTGCAACTGTTTTATTTGGCTTGCAATTTCTCTCTCTTTTTCTTCCACTACAGCTTTCAACTTCTTCATTTCTTCTTCTTCCCCTTTCAACCTGCAGAGAGGTTTAGAAAGAAAAAAGGGTTAAAGTAAGAATTTGTTCTAAAAAGGGACACACACTCTAGCTGGGACAGTTTTCAGCAGCAAAAGATAAATATATTTTGTATACTATATATAATAATCAGCCAAAAGGAGAGCATACACACATGGAGAAGAAACCATTACACTATGGTTCCAAACCAAGAAAGCTAACAAAAATACATGCCAGCTGCAACAACATGTATTGCTAACACTTACCTACTAAGAACTGGCCTGAAGCAAGCTATTCATTTCACATGTCAATCAGCAAACACATTTAGTCACAGCTGATCTCAACAGCATTCAGAGCCGAAGCAGGAGAGAAGCAGTTGATCACCTGAGCAAATCCTGCAAGCCAGCTGGCTCTGAAGGTGCCAGGGACAGTCCCCCCAAAGGTGAGGCTGCCTTAGGTACCATGTACAGGAGCCCTGCTGGGAGGGCAGCACATTACAAGAGCTGCATTGAAGACAGAGCCCTTTTTGGCACAGTCGCATCCAACCTTCCTCTGACTTAGAGCAGCCAGACAAAGCAGAGTCAAAACAGAGGAAAGTCTGGCAGCGTTTCTCCACAAAGCAGGAGCTGGAGAATTGGCTATTGCATCTCCGACTGAAAATGGCAGACTGTATCTGTTCATTGCTTTTACCAACTCAGCCACAGGCAATTAAATCCACACTCTTTTAAACATGCTAAACAGAAGGAGAAATTATCACTAGACACAAGTAGCAGCAGCAATTTCACTAGTTAGTAGAGCCCTGGGCGATCATTCACTTTTGCAAAGTGTATGAGCGCTACTACTTAGGCACACCAGGCAGGGACGCCAGACGCTTGCTATTATACACAGCAGCAGACGCGCTGACTGGTGTACATCCATCCGCGCTAACGGCTTATTTTAGCAAAGCCCATAAAATTCTTGAAACCAATTCATACATTCCAGCTTAAGATAAAACGCCAGCACTGAATGCATATTATCAGCAGGCACTTGAGAAACTGCTACTAAGCATACTCACAGGCTTTCCAGGTCCTGGACTTGGGATGCAGCAGGTACCTGAAAAACAAAGCAATTCCCCACCTCATTTTGATGGCACAGTAAAGCTTTCAAATGAACAGCAACTCTTTGCATGAGCAGGGGCACCACACAGCTTACAAGATACATGCCAAAGAAATACCAGGAATTTTGCAGACATTGCTCCAAGAACATCTAAACACATAATGGATTTCAGAAGCACAGCTTACACCAAGCATCCCAAACTTCACACCAGCCAATTTCTCTCCATTCCACCTTTCCCCTGGGATAAGTGCTTGTCCAGACATCCACCCAAAATAAGAGCGCAACTTAGTTTCTCCCCTCTATCATCGACAAAAATCCAAACTGAGCTAGAATACCGCCTTATTGGAAAAATTCTTCCATTGAGTAACACCTGGCTTCAAGGATGTCCAGTTGCCTGTTCTCATGTCCAGTGCAGGAAATCAAAAGCTGCTGCACTTCTGCAACAGGTAAAGGCAGGAAGGAATCACAGCAAAGCCTGACCACTTCAAGAGGAGCTCCTATGTTCAGTTACAACAGGAGCTCTCCTCCATGACCAGAGCCCTACAGAGACACGACTTGAGTCTGGAAAGGAGGTACCTCCCACACAGCTATGATTCCGCCTGTGAGCTTCAGAGTTTTCAGACCAAAGCTACTCGTTATGCACAGTTATCATCCAGATTAAAGAAAAGCTCTCAGAACTTGTTATCCATGTGAAACCTGTTTTGGATGAACACAGTTAACTAGTGGGCTCTCCGCACTGTAGACTACCAGTTTAGTCAGTAGGATTTAAAATAGCTCTGTAGGTTGAAGCCAATGCAAACCCTTTGTGAGAGATAAAGGACAAAAACCATCATCTTCCAGTTCAACAGAGCAGCACTCCCAAACCACATCCACTCTGCAGGCCATACCTGTTGGAGCTGTTGCAGGTTCTGTTGTTCTAACTCCTGAACTTTACTGCTTAATTGTGCAATTGTATCTTTCTGATCCTTTGGGGGGGAAAAAAACAAGTTTAGAAGTGTAAGCGTAACTTTGCCACAGCCAGAAACACTGCAACAGAATTTATTTCCCTTTAGAATACCCAAGGAAGCTTACCTGCAGCCATTCTCCTTTCTTAACAATCTCTTTCTCCTTCTCTTCCAATAAGGCCTCCATGGTTTTCACCTGCTTTTCCTTCCCCTTCAACCTGTACCATTAAACACACGTAGACACGCAGCATAAACCCTTGCTCTTTTATCCATCTGAAAAGAGACATCCTATCCTTTGCAGCACGTAACGAACAAAAGCAGCCTATGCGATCAAAGGCACAAACACAATTCACCCGCTAAAAGTCAATGTGTGAACACTTCCACTTCAGTCTGGGTTAGCAGGAGATGCCCTTGATCAATAGTACTGCTCATTAAGTGAAAGCAGGCAAATTCTGCGCTGACATACTGCGGGGATTTCACACACACACATGCTCTCCTCATCTAAAAATACTTCCTTCTCCCCTCCTCAGTTGGGGACATGAGGAACTGACGACCATGGCAACTCAATTCTCACTTACTTTGGTAACATCTGTGCTGTAGTTGGGTGGTAAGTTTGCCATAGTGCCTTGCCTACATCCTTCCATCCTGACCTGAATTTAATCCCACATAGGTTAATTGGGGCTCGTGAAGCCAGGCAGCACCTCACCTTGTTTGCTGTCTCAGACAGGACCAGGTATTTAATAAGGACACCTGACTACCAAGACCAGTGTTAACAGCCTGGCTCACTTCATGCAAAGCACAGACACCAGGTGAGAACATTTTAACTGAAAATAGACCAGAGCAGGGAAGCAAGGGGTACACAGGGCAGATCAGACACATTAACAACTGTACTTACAGAGTCTGAAGTTCTTTGACTTGTGATGTAATCGACACCTAAAGAAAATAAGTACTTCAGTTCAATGCACATGAAAGACACATAAATGCTATAAACTGCTTTAGGAGAAATAGGGGGGAAAGCCATTAGGCATTACTAAAATAGGCACTATTTGTTACAGTTATGTAAGCATAAACATGCTTTTTTGTGGGAAAATAAATTATGAGAAGCCAACTGTCTCCGCTATTTACTTTCTCCACATTTAAAACGTGACTGCCAGAGCAGAAAAGAAAACAGGGGAAATGGGAACACAAGCAGGCCCACCGGAGCACCCTCTGGCACGAGAGACAAAGGAAGAAGCAGACACTGATACAAGCACCTCACTAGCAACTGCAGCTCAAATCAGAGCAATCACCCCTGGTCATTCAGACCTTTGCGCAAGCAAGGGCTTTTTAGATACTCTCTGCAGCGCCGGTGCTCCTTTAAATTCCCATTCTCAAACTGAATATGCATTGAAGAAACAAGACTTAGTGGGAATATTCCCTTTGAATTTTGTAGAAAAGCCTGACAGTGGCTATCTGTGTAGCTACTGGCTGTCCAAACGGCTTAGTCCTCTACCACATCATGGCAGGAGTTTCAGACATTCCCAAAAGCCTCTATTCTGCTTGCAGGATACCAAAAGCTGCACATACACCACCTATGGAGCAAGCATCCCTCACATGCAGCTTTCCAGAGATGGCAGCTCTAAACTGCATTTTGTTCTGGGCTCTGTGTCAGTTCCAGGGAAGGAAGAGGCACACAAATAATTCCTCCAGTTCCTGGGAATTTGCTTTGGAGGAAAAGCCCAAGACGGAAACATGAAGCTTTGCCTAAAAAGGACAAAACTTCAACACTAAGGAAAGAAGAGGGGGTGACATGTTGGAATATAGCTAGAAAGACTGAAAAAAGTGCAGACCAAAAAAAACCCAACCCACTCACCCCAAACAAACAAGCAAGCAAACTTCCTGACAGCACGATGGATTAAGCTGCCTGCAGAACCAGCTCCCTAAGGAAACGTGGGTTCCTGTTGTTTTGGATGCTAGACAGCAAGCGTGCCAAGAGCACCAATACTACTCCATTTCTGCATTCCCAATAGCTAGAGTAAAACTTAACTCTGCTAAGAGAGGCTTTCTTTGGACACTAGAAAGAAAAGTCTTAGGTTTACCTGGAAATCAAATACTACTTGGGCCAGTAGTATTGTTCTAGCAACACAGAAAGGCCAACGAAAGGAGAAGCACCTTCAGCACTTGAGATTTCCAAGGTGCCAGCCTCAAAGGATGTCCCAGGGTTCTGTGTTTATTACAGGGACAGTCTGCAATACGCCCAGACAGAGCAAATGCTACAATGCTTTAAGTTACAGCAGTTCTTGCCACAGTTCATACCAAAAGTCCAAAAAGCTCAGGCATCCAGAGGAATGTGGTTTCTGAAGGACAGCGGTAGTTATACTACATATTTACAGCTTTATATCCAAGAATAGCATAGCTCTACCATTAAAAAGTTCCCTTACCCAATGACATTCACCAGTGGAAGAAAACACACTAGAACAGAAATGAGTGAGCAGCGCATCCAAGGCAAGGCTGTTTCACACTTCTGGCACTAAGGTATTTTACCTGTTTTTCCATCTCAAGCTTGGAATTTCCTACTTCTTCTTTCAGAGCCTCTATTTCCTGTGTCAAAGCCTTTTCAATAACAAAACAGACAGGATTGGACAATGGAAAACACAAAAACGCCACAAAAATGGATGCTACAAATTCATCACTATAGAATGCCATGCAGTAACAAATAAATGGTAGTCAGTGACAGACACAGAAAGGAAGGCAGGTATTGCAGAGATAGATACCTGAACAGTCTTCTCCTTGCTTGCTACTTTAAGGATCTCAGCTTGTAGGAGTTCTTCCACCAATTTTATTTTTCCATCCTTCTCATGGATCCTTAAAAAGAGCAGAGGAACAACGTTAGCTGGCTGAACAAATGCACTACCTGAGCAAATACGCAAGCTTTGGTTCTGCTATCACATCACATCGCCTGCCTCTGGGATCCACAGTGGGACCTCCCACTGATTGCAGGTGCCACCTCCCACTGCAATCCCAAATCCAGATACAACAAGCAGGAGAAACAAATACGAGGAATAAGACTGGGAATAGCGCAGAACAAGCTGGCTTTATATAACCAGTAGGTCACATGCTAAATAAATACTTTGCTGGAATGTCCAGTGGTGGCTGAAGTTAAGTGTGTGTCATTCCAGGGACTATTGATACTATTACTGTCTAAAAATGCAAATTAAGGTATCTATCAACTTCAAATACACACACAGAGTGAACAAGCTCACTCCTTTTAGAGTGCCTACTGAATAAAACAGTTTTCTGACAATTCAGTGCAACTCATAGAATCACAGAATCATTAAGGTTGGAAGAGACCTCCAAGATCATCGAGTCCAACCATCAACCCAACACCACCATGCCCACTAAACCATCTCCCTAAGCGCCTCATCTACACGTCTTTTAAATACTTCCAGGGATGGGGACTCAACCACTTCCCTGGGCAGCCTGTTCCAATGTTTAACCACTCTTTCAGGAAAGAAATTGCTCATCTAGTCAAAGTTAGGCTTATGAAGTTAATTGCTTAGCAGAGAAGCAACTGGATTTTCAAAAGATATTGATCTGGCTTGACATGTTTCCAAAGCGATAATGCTTCCTGCCACACACACTTCACCCAGTTAAAAGCAAATCATTTCAGGGAAGCAGAACACTTGTAGTCATGGAATAAAGACAGACAGAAGTAACAATCAGAAGATTAAATCTGTGCAGTAACTTACACTTTCTGGAGTTCTTCCACCAGTGACTGGAAGGAAACCTGTTCAGAACAGAGCTTTGACTTAGAAAAACAGAAGAGAAAAAACAATCTGCAAGTGTTGAGGGGCAAGGAGTAGAGAGCTTGAGCTCTTTGGCACTGGGTGAACTATGTAGCAGCCTGAAGTTTTTATCTATCTGGCTGCTCCTGAGAAAATTAGCTGTTGGTCTCCAGCTCCTGGCAAACCAATAATACCAGGTCTGCTGCAAGTTCCAGGAAAACAAAAGCAAACCCACACCATCCTGAGAGGCTGAGGTTCAGGACCAGCATCTGATCAGCTAACTTTTTCATACTGGTACTACTGTACACCTCTCCACAGTTATTGTGCTTCTCCTCTCCCATAAATGATTTTCTAGAAACTAAGTGCTCTCCTGAGCTGTCTAAGCAGAGCTGGATGTCAAGGAAAGGCACTTCCCAGTCAGCACCGAGTGCACATCAGAAACGATAATACTGTGACAGTGTCACTGAACAGAGACATAAACAGAAGGGGGCCAAGTCACACCCGCACAAGTGTGGATTAACCCAACCCACCTCAAATATGCATAATGAAGCTGACACAGTATGAGCTGCCTACCAGCCATGCTTGCTGCACTAGGCTTCTGGAAAAAAACCCAACCCACAGCCATTTCGGTGCGTGGCAAACTCAAGCCAACCCAGAACCACTGCTGATTGGAACCTTTACATCTGCCACGTTTCTGACACTTATGCAAGGGAAGTATTTGACAGGAAGTATCAGCTTCGAGACCAACCCTGGAAGAAAACAGGATGCTTTGCCATCAGGCTTCAAAGACATCTTCACCTTTTTCCCTCGACTTTGCAACCACAGCAAGATTCTTTTAGATTTAGTTTAGGTGTAATAAAAGTTTTAGATGAAAAAGTACTACCTGCTCTGATTGCTGAATTTGCAGACTTTGAAGTTCTTTCCTCAAGGATGAATTTTCCGTTCGCAGTGCCTTTGAAAGCAGACGCACAGATAATGAAAACCTCGTTTCTTGGGGAAAAAGTGTTAAGCTTGACGGGAGAGTCACTTCTTTTAGAACAAGTGAAAGACTTTGAAAGCCTGAAAGAGACCCCCTCTGCAGCAGCTGGAGCCAAAGTATTCAGTGGACTAATTATTCATTACAGACAGCTCAGAGTGGACTTCAATCTATAGGAAGCTAGAGTCCAGGGAAACATCAAGGTGATGTGCTCACATCTTTGGCTGTTTAGTAACCTGACAGTTTGCTAGTGTGCAACCCCTCCCCAGTACAGGGGTGTCAGTGATGCACCTGGAATTTAGGGACATTAAGAAAGTGAGCATTGTCTTGGCTATGTCCAAGCAGACAGGACACAGCTTTCCAGCAAAACCCAGCTGAAAACAGACAGGGATTTTTGTACTGGCTTTCCAGATTTCTCATCATTAGCTTCTTTATAAACAGAACAGGAAGGAAGTACCTTTAGCATCACCCCAGGAGTGTCACTAGTTTATGGTCCATTTAACCCTTCAGATTACCAACTAAGCAAAGAGATGCAAGAGCCCCATGCTGCCAAGTTTTTACTAAACACCCATTCCTAAATACAGATTTGTCGCAGATTAGGCCAAGCATACAGCTCTGGAGATTTATTCACTTTATTCCAAAAGACACCAGGTAAACATCCTAGCAAAATCTGCTCTAGACTAAGCCGAGAGAAGCACTTACTATACACCACCAATGCTCATGCTCAGTCTATCTTACCAAAAAGGTTTTAACCTTGTCTTTGAGATGCTCTTCCTATTCAAAGGGAATGATCTCGGAGTGCACTATGAGCATTCAAACATACGCTTTGCACAAGAGCACTTAATCTCTACTTCCCCATAAAAAGATAGTATGAGAGGTTTTACCTTCAGCTCCTCCTCTTTATTAGCCACCTGTATGAGTCCTGCCTCAAGCAGCTCTTCAACTGTTTTGATTTTATCATCTCTCTCTCTCATGCTGAGAAATCAAAAGTGATTATTAGGAAAAAGAGAGTTAACCTTTGACAGCAGTTTAGCTATCAACAGTAACCCTGCTGCCAACAAAACTGGATCTTTATTTTAACCTCTGATTCAAAAGAAAAGTTTCTTACCTTCTTTCCATCTGCTCTAACAAGTCTTTGTTTGTCTATAAAAAAACACAATAGGGTGATCATTAATTGGATCAATAATAGTTTGGGATTTTAAAAACAGAAGTAACTGGAGAGCAAACCAGAACCTTAGTTACCACACTAATCCAGAAGGGAAAATAAAACAGGGGCAGAACGTTCTCATGGCACGTGTCTAATACTGATGCTGAAAAGATGTCAGTCTTTCAGGGGAGGTACAGATCCAGCCCAAATGCCTTGATGATTTTACACTGATAGACTACAGGAATTCTGGCGACAAGATGCTGTGGGACACAGGATCCCAGTGATCCAGGGAGCGTCAAGCATGCCAAGTACCATGCAACAGCTAATCCATAGCAGCCAGCTCAGTACCTGAAAAATACCTGCCTCTTTTGAGCATTGATTGAAGCCACAAGCTCCCCTTGAGGCTCACTCAGCAGAGCATTTATGATTTCTCAATGAGACATTGTGAGAGACCACACGAGAAACATAAGCCAGCTACCAAGAAAAATCAGCCCCACTATTTCAGGCAGGACACCAAATCAGCCAGACCCAGGGGAATAAGGCTGCAGATCTGGTTCTCCACCAGAAGAAAGGGAGCCGCTCCAGACAGGGAGCTACTGGCTAGCAGACACCAGTGCAGAAAAGGAAATAAGTTTCCTGTCCTGCAAGTCTTTTTCCAGTGTTTCAGGAAGTTTTCTCATTCCACAATGGTACAAAGTCAGAGGTGTTCACAAGAGCTCTCCCAGGCAACACTTGCAAAGGAGATGGGGCTGAGCAACACAACAGCTTTGAACCTGCAGCATCTTGCGTGAGCACCAGTCAGACCGGCTGCAGCAGGTGTACCATGGGCAAAAATAGAGAAGAGGAAGGACAAAAGACATCATGATGTAAATAGTTTTCCCATTCCATGAGTCTGTTCTTTGGTTACTACTGGTTTAAGAATTCATTCCAGGATGGAAGAAAACAAGAGTAGGGTAAAGATCTTACTCTGGTCTCACCACAGCCCAGTAAGAGCCCTCTCCCCTGGAAGGGCTGGTTGCTCATGGGATTTTTTTATTCCAGAAAATTGCCACTAAAACTGGGAGGGGTTGCAGAAATAAGTTTTTGCTTGAGCGCTCTTCAGGGCGGGGGGGGCAGTGGTGGTGGAAATCAACATTTTGTTGGGACACTCTTGACCAGATCTAGAAGACAGCCACAACCACCTTACTTGAACCTCCATGGAAGAGAAAATACCTAAAAAGCAACAGGCTTTGACACCAACCAGCTCAGCCTAGGGCCAGCTTAAGAAAAAAATACTGAAGTTAAGAACAGAAGATATTTGATACAACCTCAGCGAACACTGGCTATACCTGCTCAGACAGGAGAGTCTGCAGCTTTTGAACTTCAGCTTGCAGAGTTGCGTTCTGATCCTTGAGAACCTGGAAGGAAATTTAAACATTATATCGGTTCCAAACTGCAAACCCTAATGACAGCATTTTCATTTTGGCAATAAGGTAATTAAATAGCACAGAAGTCATTACAGTGAGTTCTTTGGAAGCTACAAAACTACAAAGAGTCCTTTCCCCTTCTTTCTTGCTTTTCTGTGTTAATACTTTTGTCCTTATGTTCCCATGAGAAATTCAGCTGTTACCATCTTTATTCCCTGGCAGAAGATCAGACAGTACCAAGTGTGAAAGGCAAGAGAAACTGCATTTTCCTCCTAAAGCAGTATCAGCATCACGTGAAGATTTGATAGCTCTTACAAAACACTCATCTGGCAAAGCAAATGGTCTCTAGTTCTCTTCAGCTGCCTTTACACTGATGATGCACAGCAAGGAACCGGCAGTCCAGCAGCAGAGGTTTGCACAGCTCCCACGCTTTGGTCCGACTGCAGGCTGGGAAGAGGCGAATTGGGAAGACAAACAGCCAT